TCATTGAAGGTTTTATGGCTTTTGTCGGCGGCACTGCCGGTCGGCGGTTCTGTCTGACCAAGTAATTGGAAGTGATTAGCGAGTCGTTCAGTGTCTCTTGTATAGAAAAGAACATTCTAATTATGGATTCCATAGCATTAGATTGCAAAATGGATTTCATCTTTTTATTTTCCCAAGTTTAAATTCATGGTCCTCATAAGAGTTAACTGACTGTATATTTGCTCGAAAAATTTAGCGCACATTTCTCAAGATTATATTTTTTAACATTTGCACGGGTTAAATTTGGTATGATCTTTCTATTTTGACGTTTTTCTCATCAAATAAATATTTCGCAGCCGCGACTCTGACTCAACATATGTGGTTTCGTGATGACATTTGAATGGAAGGGAATGAAAATCATCACTACATACTACCAGTAGTTGTGGTCTAATTAATTACACGTCGTCGTTATTGAACCAAAACACAAATATCGTTGTGGTCTGAATCGACATGAAAAGCAAATAATTGCTCCACATAGCGTGCTGTGTTCATCTTCTTGAATTTGAGGACTACATTGCATTTCTATACGACAAGCTAGAACCTCTTTCTTTGCTTATTTTTGCGCCAACAGCGCTAAACGACAAATATGATATGAATAAATCTTACTCATCAGAATGGAATTTTCCGTTTCTGTCGGTATGACTCTGTTCGTGGAGGGCATATGGTCATTGATGAAGTATTTTCCGAAAAATATCCTGCAGATTTAGAGCCTTTTATGACCCAGACAACTCAATCATCAGAAATGTAAATACCACCTGTAATTTTTTCGTTGCCCTAAGCTCTCACACGATGAACTTTTTCTGATTAGAACGGAAAAACTGTGAGATTATGCGGAATCCCTTGTCTCGAAACGATGCACGAAAGTGTTCTGTAAACAATACACGCTAAGCGAAGTCTTGACCCCTATTATACTTCGTTTTAACTTTCCTTCATTATTCAATTCAGTTGGTTGATATTTTCTATTACAAATAGATCGATGCAAGTTGAATTAGCATCAAATGAACAATATATTCAATACGAAGTGTAGTAAAGGTTCGGTCAAGGCTGAACTAATAAAAACTGAAAACAGTTTCCGGCAGGTTTTGGTTGGTATTATTGTCAATGAAAACTACAAGATCCCTTATTTGCTTCCAGTAAAATATTTGACATTAAGAAATTTACTTCCTTTATCGATAATTATTTGCTTTGAAAGAATCGCCTTGATGTTGTTCTTAAGCACTCGCATGGCTGACTTTGTTAATTTAACTCTCTTTGAAGAAAATTGAGCATGAAAGCGAAGTCATGAACGTACGTTAAATTTCTGAGGCAACATCGATTTGTTAGCGGTATGGTCGTGTCCATTTTAAAACTGACTACCTATAACTTGATTATAACTCGTATCTTTTCTTGTTATTTTTCAATGTATGTATATAAATTCATGCCAAAGTACTTCGTCGTTTAAGTTTATGGCTATGAGTGATGCCAAACCTATTTAAACTCAACGAAGTAAGAGAGAATATTGATCGGTTTAAGTAAATGAAAGGTTTTTTAATGAGCCCTCCAATTTCCAGATTACGTATTGTGAAAGTGTTCTTGAATACATCTGTTAAATCGGCACTCGAGCTTCAGTCGCATGTTATGGGAATTCATAATATTCGCATATCAAAATTGATAACACGCGGACTATAGAAACATTCAAGTTGAAAACAAACATATCGATTATGAAAAAAAAAAATCACTCGAAAGAAAAAGAGAAGCAAAGTATTCCGAAGACAGCTGAATCTCAGAGATTCAATAGCGAATCTAAACTTTCTGTCGTCAAGCGCAAATCTCACTCACAATTTATCTTTAGTAGTGCCTTGATCTGACTCCTACAAATAAAAGTCATTACCTACCTTCATCAGAGAGTTAGTTGGGTAAAATTTTGAGAAATTAATTGACTGAGACCCCAGAAGAATCCACTATTTACAAACAGCAGTTTCGTTCTCAACTAACGTTTGTCTTGCGTGTAAGCGACAGCACCGAAATCATTAGAACTTTGAATATCCTGGCTGGTTAATAGAGCATTAAATTTATTCATCATCTTTATTTATTCTTGTTTCAAACCCGACGTGGTGTGAGCAGTTTAGTAAAGTGCGGAAGAACGGTTCAAATAATGTTCCATCGCTTCAGTGTTAATCATCTAGACTCTTCTCTGACTAAATTACTTTCTGTGAATCTGAACAACTTTTTTGAGCAAACTTATCGTGGCATGGCTCATCGCGCCCAGTAATTTTCGTGTCAAAGATCCGGAAGTCTGAAAGCTATTTATTAAGCTATAAAGTCGGGTAAAATACCAAAAGGTGCTGAATTTCAATTTTTTTAATCTATGCTTTTGTAATTCAAGTTTGGCTAATTGGAATCCGATAGCTTCAGAAATAAGAAAACCGTAATTCTGCAGATAAATGAAACCTTAGCCCAATGCATCACAAGAAACCGCTCGTAGTGTAAAATCAAAGCTTCATACAAAATTAAATCAATGGGTTTTTTTTAAATTAGGCTTTGATATTTGATATTTGTATGCATAAAATAGCCCGTGATTTTAGAATTGATTTCTTAAAATTAATTATTCAGTTTTTTTTGCCATGGGAATAGACACCTGAATCATTATCCAGCAGAATTGAGACACCTTTTCCATGGGTTGACGGAGAAAGAGGATAAACGGATAAAATTTATGGGAAAGAATCCTCGATATTAGATCAGGGTCAGAAATAAATTATTTGAGAAATCAATTCTTGAGGACTAATGGTTAAAATTCTCTTCTTTTGTTTGATTCACGTAGCTAGAGTTATTTTTTCGTTCAAATGTTTCTCTAACCCATGAACACAAACAATTGCCTTAATTAATCTACCTCAAATGTTGACTCAGTTGTATCCATGCACTTGCTGATTCACAGGCGAAGCCTTTGCTAGCTTCGAAAAATACTTTAAATTCATCTTAAGTTAACTGGGAAAGCTTTTCAACTGAAACGGTTTTGATCAGAGTGGGTCAAGCTGCAAAGAACGTGAGTTGAATATTTATGACTGAAGAATGTTTGTGATCGCGGGAAATGCTCAGCATGCTGGTAGGAAATGTACCGAGAAGTAAATTGAACCGGCTCGCTGTTATCAACTGATTTTCGGAAAACATTAAAGAAGAGAAACTCGTTAGCTTGCGGCCCTTGGTCGAGGTACCATTTGTCATGTAATCTTACAGATAAAACTAGAAATTGTCGCTGGATTTGATTAAAAAGTCATCCTAGGTTGCATCGAAGTGGAAAAGGTCGTCAATATATGATTAAGAAGTTTAAACCAGAAGTTAGCATTGGGTATTTATCCAAGCGTTATTTAGCAAGACATTTCAACGTGACATGTAAAACGATATGTCAAAGAAAAAAAAAAACGGGATTCATGATTTTTTTTAGAAGAGCGATAAGCGTGAATTAACGTCTGAATATTTATGTCTCCCGAGAATTATTTCGTTTCTTTCTTTCCTCAGGGGGTGGGTGGGGGGAAATTGGGCCGGTTGTATTTTTAGGCCATTTTGCATATTCTTTACCAGGGTGATGTCACCTGCTTTCACGTGATACGCCATAAATTCTCGTCCCATTTGTTCATTCCTCTTATATCAGCTGTAAGACTAAGTGTTGAGGTTTAAGTGATACAAAGTTACCGAGACTTCACTTGGAAAAACTTGGTCCAATGCTCGCTAGGTTTCATACAAGCAATGATTGATTAATAGACTGGTGTACAGACCTTGGTGCATTATTTCCCCAAAGCAATAATAACAACTGCGATGACCACAACTAAATCCTGGATATTTCTTCATTTCAGTAACGATCATTAGCAACCAATTAAGGAACTGGTGTATTATAGCTATCGTACCCGCTGTTCTCGGGTAACTTGTCAAGGCTACTGTCACGAAATGTCATGAAATGTCAGCCGACCGATTAGCTGTAGAGGCAGAAATTAGAGGGTAGTTTAGCCTTCCGATTTAATGTCTTTTAGAATCAGTGTTGCTCCGAATTGCGGTTAATAGTTGTTAATTAGAATTTTCAAGTTGTGCTTTCATCCTACGACGGTTAAAACCGCCGTGAAAAATTTGACTGCGGGAAAAAAAGTTACCAATACAATTAGAATCACCCTGAAATGTTCAATAAATCATATTTCATGCATTTCATTAGCCTTGATTGTTCCATTGTTCACTGAAGATTGAACAACACAACAGTTGACTAATTTGACTTCATTTTTATTATGTCCTCAGTCTGCCTCGTTCAGTATGCGGCGTTAGTAAATCTTATTGTGTTATGCGGTAAGTCTCTCTAGATTTAGTTTGTCGTAAAGTAACTTGCTTCAAAGAGGAATTGAAGGCGACATTGGTTGTTGAAAGTTTTTCCTTTGTAGTACCTGTAAAGCCGGTGAAATTTTGATTGAAAAGCAGACTACCTCGAATGTATGGATGAGTTTTCTGGCACAGTCACTAAGTCTTCTAAGGATCGATTACCCGAATAGAGAAGAACAGTATTTTCCATCAGTTTGTGATAATATAACAACAAAAAGAAATATCGAAATTAAATATACCAGCAGACACAGGTCTTAGTTGAATTACATGAAGTGCAAGGCTCATGAGACACAAATCCAGCACTGAGGGAGCCAGATAAACAATAGATTTCCTTTTACTTTTATTACTTTTAAACAAACTCATCGCAGTGGAACTTATGGTCAGGGACTGTTTAAAATCAATTTTACAATTAAGAAAAATTTCCTTTTCTAATCAGAAGTATTATGGTTGGTCGCCCTCATTGAACGTGCCTTTCTGCCACTCAGAAAGTAGCTTCTTGTTTATTTACATCTATGTTCTACTCCTTCCTAGTGGGAGGGCGATATGACCCTCACATTAAAATCTCTCAAACAGAAGCAGTTGTACAGCGCTTTCTTTTCCCTTTTTCCTTAAAGTCCATTTTTATGTTATTGATATCAACAGCGGCGACACTTAACACAGCTACTACTGAACAGTCTCTTTGCCAGAAAGGCCACGCCCAAACACAGGGAAAGTCAAAGGTCCTTCCACCACGAACACTGCCGGGAGATATAAATCACGCGGGGGCGAAAATAGGTCAGGAGTTTTATATCAATGTAATCTCTAATATTGTTTCGAGTTAGAATTGAATTTTTTTTTACAAAAGCTTCTTCCTTTGCAACAAATGGTAATATAATGTGGCTTACGGCATGTGACGAGTTATGTAATTTGACCTTGCTTATTCCAGACGTTCAGTTAGTAAAGAAATAGTAAACGGCGCGATATTACGTAGCAGCAGAGCGAAAACGCGAGGGAGGCCCTCCCTCACTTTCACATTTACACTACCCACTCCCCCAAGGCAGCAAAATTGTCACTCCGATTATTTTCTCGATCAGTTACGACCTTTTCCGCCTCCCTTCGGCCAAAGTCCCTCAGCACTACCAATAACAGAAGGACTTTTGTTAGATGCTTAATGTAAAAGTTGAGCCGGAACAATGGACGATTTGTTGATACAGGTTTGGGTCAGGTCGCGATTGGACTCAGACCTCCCTCGTCTTTTCACTTCCCCCGCTACTATGGTTAACTTTGACCTAATCACAGGGTGCAATATGCAGAAAGCAAGACGAGTGAAGGCTGGCAGACTTGCAAAACTCCACCTAAGGACTGCATGAATTCATTTTAATAATTACATCTTTTCGTTTCTTTTATTTATTATTTCTATATTAGGAGATGTGTGTACGGGAGTTCCTGATGGAGACTACGCCGACATACATAACCCGTATGGTTATATCACCTGCCAAGGAGGTCAGACAATACGCAAAAACTGTCCACCAGGGAAGATGTGGGACACAGAGACGAAAAGCTGCGTTATGCAACTGAAGTGATCGTTTGCTAATTAACATAATTTTGTTTTTTCATGAATAAAGTCAATGATCTGATCGTTTGCAGCCTGTTTGTCTCCAGGTCCGAAAAACCCAAAACAAAACCGTTCCACAAACATTTCCTAAAAACCCATACGTTCAGTTTATTAAGAAACTATGTGAAACTATAAATGTGCTGAAGTATTGGGTACACATAAAAATAACCCTCTCATCGCATGAAATTACGTAACTGTGAGGTTTGATCCTCTTGGGGACGCAGAATTTTTCACTTTCTCCCAGGCTCATAACCAGAAGAGTAAACATAATTCAAATCTTGAAATCCAAATTGTGTTGAAATCCTAGAGCCTCGCTTTTTTTTTCCAAATAGGTCCAAACTCACCTGCCACGGAAGAAGACCGCGTAAAATCGTCTTTATGCAACATCGTCCTCTTTTTGTGTTCCTTTAGCAAAAAAAAAAATGATTATACCACCAAATGATTATTTAAGATGAAGCGAGTATAAAATACCAACTCTATTTTACAATGTCATCTTTGAAAGCCACACCACGCCCTTTAAATACAACACCAGTTGTTTAGTGGCCTAATGATACAATGAAAATCATGATCACGATTTAGTACTTTTATCTCTCATTTTCCATTTGCCCTCTTTTAGAAGCTTTCAGTTGATGCGCTAACATTGCATCTTTAAAATATTTTTATAGCTAAGTATAATTGATCCTTTTCGAAAATATCTGTTTTCATTAAATTTTCAAAGCATGACCTCAGTTAATGTTGCCCACGTCAGTCACTTTTAGTTTCATTAGGATGCATTACAAAGGAGTACGCTAAAATAATCAGTTTTCATCGAGAAATATCCAAGAACAGAAAAGAACCTCAGCTTTGCCAAGCTGAAGAAGGTAAGGTAAGTTAGCCTGAAATATCTTTTTCTTTTAAATGACTGGTAATTCAATTTATGGTAGCATTATATCCTCGAATTGACATTTTAGGATCACTAGCATAGTGAAAATCAGTCTTAATTGTTTCGTTCCCTTCGAGTCAGATTCTCGTGAGTTCTTGGCCTTTGCGAACAATGTCTTATGCCTGAGGCAAACTCGGGGCTTGTACACGATAGGGTCTTTCACTTCTAAAAGGATAAAGAGCCCATAAGTTAAAAATTACTACGAACGAACCCAACTCAGCGTAATTAACAAAAATGAAATGAAAATTTTACTGATTTCACAACCAGTCAATGCCGAAACACAAGAGTTTATATTCTCTTGCTACACATTATAGACTCGAAATTCTTGTCGAGGCTATACGCGTTGATCTCTTTTCTTGTTTCAAAGCTGTCTCGATGCAAATCAAAGATGCGCAGGTCATATTGCTCGTCCTGTTGGACTGGTTTGTTCAAAACAACGGTGGGTACATCTACATGTCAAGTGAAGATCAGTGAAGGCTTAGATATTTTTGATTTGACAACTGACGTAACACTAGACGCTGATAGCATAGACTGACTGATTTTTGACAATTAGTGAAGTCCAGATTGATAGATTCGGGGTTCTTAAGCTGGTTAGGTCTTTGTACTATGTCTTGTAGCAGAGCAAAATATTTATCACTCCCTCCCCCCTGTCCTCTCCAGCCATATGTGCATCAGTAAAATGAGGCGTTCATCTGAAATGCTAGGGATTGAAAAGCAACGAGGTGACAAATTTTCTGGAAGGGGGTAACAATACTGGGACGTTGCTTTATGTTGAAACAGGATCATGGTGTGACTGTCACGTGAGTCATTCTCGTATGCCGGCTGAGATTTTACAAACGTATGTCTACTTTTATCTCAAGTAAAAACACCTCGAGGGCAGATAGATCAAACTAGGATTAAGTTGAGGAAGGTTGAGCAGATAAACATACTTGGCAACGAACAGATTTACTATTAAATTGTGGAGGAGTTCCCAACGAAAAGTTTAATTACCGCCTGATCTGTTACCAGCCAGAAAGGAACTACTCAAATAATCCGCAAGTTTTTCTACTTTCTCTGCTGGGAAATCTACTCTGAAAAAGTGACTTCAAAATTTTCTTTTGTAAAATATTCAGTATCAGAGCAAAGAACTGTTAAGAAAGCCTTTCTTTCGATCTCCAGGAGTAACACAATATATTGACCTTCCTACAAATAAACAAATGAAGTGCTCTCTCCGTTTGCAGATCAAAATGCAATAAATTAATGTCATTTCATTTTCGACAGTTGGTAAGCATCTTCTTGTGGCGTACTGGGGACAAAACAGCTCAGGAAACGACTTTCCACATAATCCTGAGAAAGAACTGAAAGATGTCTGCGCCAAACGGAAGTACGACATTATTGTGATTGGATTTGTGGTGACTTTCTTTGGAAAAAATAACAAAGGTACGTGAAAAATCATGAACGACAAAAAGGGAAAAACTAATATACTCGTGCGGTCACCTTGTGTTAGCGTCACGAGGACAATCTGTGGTAACTTGCGTGACATACGCGTACATAATAAGCTACTGATTTAGATTTAAAACTTTTCAACACAGATGAGATGCTGGAGGTGAATTTTTCTGGTCACTGTTGGGAACCTGCATCACCGCAACTCCCAAACCTTTATAGGTGTCCCAACATCGAAGAGGGCATCAAAGCTTGTCAGCAGATGGGGAAGAAAGTTTTAATATCGCTTGGAGGAGCAACAGGCAAAAATGACCTGACAGATGAGAAAGCAAAAGTGCTGGCTAAAAATCTCTGGGATCTGTTCCTTGGAGGAAAGGAAAGATCCGACATCAGGCCATTTGGAAGGTGAAATAACATTACTTCGAAAAGGGTATTATGATCTATTGTTAGCCATAAACGATGGGGGGGGGGGGAAGTTTGGTGGGAGGATTCTGGTTGTGTAACTGAAAAACTCACCAGGGCCCCCCGGCTCTGTAATATTCTTATGCCTCTCTTTGCCCCTCCCTCCCTCCCCACCTCTTATTGGCTGTTAATTGGCAGTCGATTTTTTTTAGTCCTCCTCTTTAAACTCTGCTGCGACGACTGTTTCCCCTTCCGTCCCCTGTTCCTCTAAAAAGAACTCTCCACTTCCCTTCCCCCCTCCCCAACTCCAGGCGATGAAAATAAATGGTTGTCCCTAATTTCAGTAATGTTTCTTCCAAAGTGCAATTCTCGACGGTATCGACCTGGACATCGAGGACGCCAAGTCAGAAGGCTATGCTCAGCTGGTAAAAAGTCTTCGAGATCTGGAGGACGGCTCGAAAAAGTATCTGATTACTGGTGCTCCTCAGTGTGTATATCCTGATGCATCTCTCGGCCCCTCCGAGGGTACTGCCCTGACTGACCAGGGAGCCCAGTTTGATCACGCCTACGTGCAGTTCTATAACAACTTCTGCCACACTGGCGACCAAGCACAATTCTATCCAACTATGGACAAGTGGCTTCAGTTTGCATTCGACGCTACCCGAGGAATGATACTGAAGAGAACTGCGGAGGTTTTCGGGCCCAAGATATTCGTGGGGATGCCGTCTCACCCAGGGGGTTCAGGAGATCCCAAGTATTACCGGACCCCTCAGGAGGTGGCCGCGATCTATGAGGTGATTTGTTCTGAGCTTTAACCAAACAAAAATCACGCAGGGAAGAAAGGATCCTGACATATTCTTTGAAACTTCGCTTCAAAGTTTTACTTCGCACACAAAGTTTTTTCCTTGATCCACAGAAACAAAAATGTCAAACTCCAATCCAGTCTTACTGAGGGCCTCACTTGTTCATTGTCCGATTTCTTGTCATCAAATTCTACAAAGGAAAATCCTTTTTTCCATTCATTTTTAAATTTTTTTTCTACACAGAAACTAAAGGATAAGCCAAACTTTGGAGGATTCATGCTATGGGATGCTTCTTGGGATCAGCAAAATGTTATTCAAGGAAAAGTCTATAGCGACCACATTGCGGACATTATCAGCGAGAGCGGCAACTCAGGGAAACCGACAGGAGTCCCAACCACAGCTACACCTGGGTACACCCCAACATTGGATGGATCGATTACCCCTGGGGGAACTTTACCTCCGACAACTCCTGGTGGGTCTCCACCTCCGACAGCCGGAGGTTCTACGCCTTCTACCTTACCCGTTGTTCCTACGTCTCCACCATCCCCAGGGGGAGGTGATGGTCTTGGTATGTGGGATTTTTTTTTTGTGCCAGTTGTTTGTATGTGTTATGAAAAGCAGATCAGAAAAAATGTTGTGAGAAATTTAGAACACATAATTCCAAAGGGATGGAATGCAATCGAGAGATGCTGAGAACGACTTGGTTTTATCTGTGACAAAATTTACAATGCAGTGTGCAATTAGTGTTTAAAAGGTTGTCTGAGCAATTCGTTATTGAACCATCTATCACGGAGTCGATATCGAGAGAGGCAACCGACCAGCTTGCAACATTTGAGATAGATCGCTCGTAGACTTGAATCAAAAGATTTTAGTCTCGGTAGAAGCTGTCATGCTGTTGATTTTCAGCCATATAATCAACGAAATTTAGGTAAGGGAATATAAGGAGACAGAGTGCATTTTGAAAGCTAACGTCTCTACAAGGCTGAAAACCTCAGCTTTATGTCGGAGGAAAGAGTGCACATACTACATTGCAAGGCTCGAAACTTCAGCTCTAAAAATTCCCGATCGTGGTTCATTATTGGTTAAACAACTTGTAGTTGATCATAAACTCCCTTTTTACAAAAAATATTGTGAAACGCATATTGTCAAGAGATTTTTAGAAAGTCTTGCGATGCATTCTGAAACAAATCTATTATTTTCCCACATTTTATTATTTTTAAGATTTTTGCAAAGGAAAAGAAGATGGGGACTACAGAGATCCGGATAATCCCTCGGGATACATATCCTGTTCCGGTGGAGTGACCCACAAGAGAAAGTGTCCCCAAGGGCTCGTTTGGAATGAAGAGGGAAAGTACTGTGATTGGCCAAAGAAGCTTAAATCGAACACAAGGGGGAACCAACGTCCTTTCTATTTCAAAGGCTCTGAAGCACTCAGCAAACGTGATTCAAGTCTTGAAGAAGCGAACGAACGAAGGAAGAGTCGGACGCGGAAGGAAATTGAACGAATGGAAGAACACAAGAAATACTGAATGAATCAGTCACGGAAAGAACTGATAACAATTGAAAGGACTCAAAGTATCTCCTCCTGAAATAAATCATGTTTACTCGATTCAATTAAATTTTAATCTATCCAAAGTAAAAAATCGCATCAAAGTAAGAACGTCTTATGGATCCCTTTATTGATTAACGCCTCTCTTCCAATTTGCTTCGCGAAAACAAACCTTTATCGCCCTTTGCACTGTCAAATATTGCAATAACATTGTAATTAGTAACGGAAGCTGTCAGTTAATTAGTTCTCTTGCGACGTAAAGTTGTTTTCGCGGACCTAGTTCACATAGATGGGGCGTTATGAAAAACTGATACGATTTCATGTTCTACTTCATTGAGTAAAGGCAATGGAAAAGAGGTTGCTTCTCTCAGTTAAGCTCTACGAGGAAAATAATAAGCTTAACGCTGAACGCGTTTGTGCATTTTTTCTTAAGACAACAAAAACGTGATGTCTTACGGAAGAAAACAATTTGTATCGCGACTATCTGTTGCGAATGAAAGGACGGCCAGATAATGATATGGTTGTGTTACATGGTTTGCCTATTTACGAATTCGGTAGAGGATACCTGCCGGCGTGTTTGACAAGTGAACTTGATGTCATCGACGTTCACCACAAGACTCAAGGAGGGAGTTAACCCTCAATCAGTCTAAACAGGTTACTGTAAATAACTCTATTTTGCAACTGTCCAAACCACGTGAACCTCAGCCGATGGAAACTGTGTCACCAGCAGCATCGATTCAACTACTTCTGGTGCCACTACAACCTATCATTTACATAGCAACTCCTATAAACAGAGAATTGCGCCCTAACATGTATTTCTAAGGCGATATTCACTTAATTTATTTAAAAATAGCTTTAAATAATCAAAATACATTACTCTATGCAATGAATGACCTACTTTTTGACACGAGAAGGAGAGACTCCTGAAGATCGCGACATCAACGAACGATTGGCCGCTTTTAAGATTAACTTTCATCTTATCTCCCTACAGTACGTTTTCCCCTCCATGTTCCGCACTTGAGACAATTTTTATATTAGCATCTTTCCCAACTAAACGATAGAGCATTGAATTCGCTGCAGTTCTCTGCTATAACCCAAAGTTAATTGGTATGCCCTTAAATCGTGTTAACCGCTGATTTGAGCTGATTGAATCTGATTTTAAAATCATCTGACCTGAATTTTTATTCAATTGAGGTTTAATTCAACGTTTGCAATCCTGCAGAATTTATGGGGAAGTCTACCAGAAACATTACTGCTAATTTATCCAAACTTCTCATTAGCATTTTAAGATGTTTGTTGTAATTAGTACCATGATAAAGGTGACTGGGCTTCTCAGCGGATTCCTTTGATTTCATAAATGGCGTAACCTTCTTTGAGAGTGTCATGTTGCTAGGCGTAGCTTGGTCATGAAAATTATCACTGCCTAAGTTAGCGGTATTTCGCAAGGTACAAATTAAATCGACGCTTCCTGTTGAAGTTCAAAAGATGCCGTCTATCTCTCCCTGCCTATATATGAGCTTCATCGCTAACAGCTCCACTTACTAAGAACCCCACTCAACGACAGAGCTTAGCATTGAATTTGCAATAGTTCTCTGTCATAACCACACGTCAATTGGTATGCCTTTCAATCGCTGATTTGATCTAATTGAATTTTTATTCAATTAAGGTTTAATTCAATGTTTAAAATTTCGTAGAAATTATAGGGTGCAGAAGTTTAAAAAACAATACTGCTAATTGATTAAAAATCCAATCTGTTCCATCTCATTAGCCGTTTAAGATTTTTTATCTAATTAATATGACTGGGCTTCTCAGCGGATTCCTTTGATTTCATAAAGGGTGTAAACTCCTTTGAGGGTGTCATGTTGCTAGGCGTAGCTTGGAAATAGAGAATATTACTTCTGAAAGTTATAAGTATTTCGCAAGGAACACAAATGACGCTTCCTGTTCTAATTGCGGCTCAAAAGATTCCGTCTATCTCTCCCTGCCTATATTAGAGCTGCATCACTAACAGTCGGTTGCAGACAGAAGTCCATTGCCACAGATTTCATCAACAGATCGAAGTGAAGGGAACATGAAGGTACTGAAGAGAATCAGTAAATGTTTTAAGAAAAAGCCGAAGATTTCAACCGAAAAAATGACACCAGAGGAGAGAAGAGACAGTGACAGTGCCATGGTTCAGCATTCGCTTGAGAGCCGGCGTCGATCAAGTGAAACTAATGTCCTGGATCTGCGAAGACAGGAACATCTGGAGAAAATGAAAGAACTTTCCGAACGAAAGGCAGCAAGAAGCAGATACCAAACCATGTCATGTAACAGTTACTTCACGATGAACCGAGAAAGTGACAGTATCTTCTTGAAGGATCCGCGCCTGACTGAAAACGCAAAGAAGCTGACAGCGGAACAGATGCAGGCCTTAGAATTGGACATCTTCATGCCGTTGGATTTCTACGAGATTTTGTTCAACAGAATGAAAGCAAAAGATGACGGCGAAGCTTCGGAAGAAGAGCAAGAAACGGAGAGCACAGAGTATAGTCTATTTTGACTGTTCAAAGAAAGCCGACACAACACTGGTGGACATCACAGACAGTAAAAACACGTATACTAGAAACTGTGGTTTAAAACATTTCATGTGGAAGGTCGATCAATTAAACAACATACCATATTTCTCAATGACTGACCGCTATTTAGCCTGTTTCAGAAATGCGGGGTTCTAATATGCGAGTTTTACTGTATGATGACAAAATTCTCTGTGTTATATTTCTGTCTGACTCGGTTCGAAGTATGCGACGCGAATGAGGCGTCCATTTTCGAACTGTACTTAAGATGGTTTGATGATACAAGAACGATTTAACTGTATCTTTCAATGATGAATCAATAAAATTTGGCCTGGCATTTTTTGTTTTATCAGTTGTGTTTTAATAAGTGAACCTGTGTAAGATTAAACTGTATTTTACGTAGACGATAGCATGAAGGCAAGCAATAATTCGTAGCGTCCTTGAAAGTAGATCTTTGAAACCTTTGTTTCGCAAAATCCCAGAAAAATGCATCAATGCTAATAACGCGTTTGCCTGAGACAGTCCGTGTGTGTAAAGTAGTTGTCTCTTTCAGCCACTGAGTTTGTAAATGAGGTGCAAAATGAACAGGGCGAGGATTCAATGGGGCGAAACGAACGAGTCTCAAAGTAAACGGGGAGAAAAATGAACATGAAGAGAGAAAACGAGAAGCGAAGTGAACGTAAGAGAAAGAAAACGGGAGAAACAGTAAACGTGAAGCTAAGAAAACGGCACGTGAGGTGAACGTAACAAAGGTAAACGGGGGAAAAAGAGAACGTGAGGCGAGCTCACGAGAAGCGAAATGAACGTGACGGAAAATAAACGGGGCAAAACGTGAACGTGAAGGCAAGCAAACGGGGCGCGAAGTGAACGTGACGCAAAACAAAAGGGAGGAAAAAAAAAACGTGAAGCCAAGCAAACGGGAAGAAAAGTGAACGTGATGGAAAATAAACGTGTTGCGAGGTAAAAAGATGCGAAGTAAACGTGACGTAAAGTGGAAGTGACGCAACGTAAGCGGGGTCGCGGTAAACGTGACGCAAAGTAAACATGATCCGAATTAAATGTGACTTGAAACGGAATGCAAAGTACACTTGACGTGAAGTAAACGGGAGGCGAGGTAAACGTGATTTTAAGTAAATGAAGGACGAAGTAAACGTGACGCGACATAAATGGAGAATGACTAGAACAGCGGCAAATAGTTTTTCTCGTGCTACAGTAATTTTCTGGAGTTTCACTTACGATTTACTCATGGCTCGTGATTGTGTTCAATTTTGTTTATTTTGTGTTTATTTGATTCGTGACAGTGATGTCGATTGCGACGAGAGGGCGGCCATAAACAAACGTCCTAATGGAAATACAAAAACGTCATTATCTTCAACAGATGAGAGCTCCACTGCTAAAATATCTCTCAGGAATCAGATTGTGGCCTTAACATACTCTTTCTAAGTCAGATGTAGCTTCAGATTTATTTTCATTTTGTTCTTCCTAATCTACGTCACTGTTTTCTTCTTATTTTTGACCCAACCGTGCATGAAACCGGCATTGCGAAAATCATTTATTTAATAACTAAGCTCAAACTAGAGAGGGCTTTCATGTGGAACCCATGTTCCAAGATCTGATCTAGGAGCACAAAATAAGTCTCTGTGCAAACAGAACAGCGTCTGTTTCGTTTTTTAGGACTCATAAACTGTAGCACAGATCAAAAGCACCTTAGGGTCGGGAATACTATTGGCTTAGGCATGTTACAATGGACACAAGCTCTACGCAAACGGCTTTGGCTCCAACAGTTAGTTTCCCCTTGGAAAAAGCTCGAGAAAATGGCAAAAGGATTGAAATTTAAAAAAAAAGCCTTTGTCCTGACAAATGCAAATATTTCCTCTTGATTGAAAAAGCGAATGACATAAACGTAAATAACAAACAAGACGAAAAAAACGCTGATGATGCCGAAAAAATCTTATGAATTATATTATAATTATATTATATATTTACAACACCAGCTGGTACATTTTTCATATTTCGATCAGATATTCTCTGAAAGAGGGAGACCGTGTTGATTCGTGATTTATAACCAGCCTTGAATGAAAATGTTCTCGTCAGAAACTACGCCGTTTTAATTCGATTTCATTTTATAAATCAGATTTCCCTCAGATCTGTTGACAAATTATGTGAACAATTTTTATTTTCTCAGACTAGTTATGAGTCTTTCTGATCAAAGTTCGAATGATTTTTTTTTTCTTTGTCAGTTTTCAAATCAAGCTAAGGGCTGAGGCTTTCCCAGGCGCATGTTTTCATCATTGGTTAGGCACATAGTCACGATTGTTCATCTACCGTGGTCAACATCGATTCTGTCCCTGAAAAGACACCGTCTTTGGATATGACGGTTTCAATATTATCACTGTTAATGCTACTAGTGAGATGTGCTTTACCTAACGCCATTCTCAAGTAAAAAGTTAAGGGCATTTTTGAAATCAGTCAATTCGTGGCAAACAACTTAACTGTTTTGCATTATTTTATGAAGAGACCGGTGGTCCATATCAGCGCACTAACGTTCAGAGGATCTGATGATTGCACAAATTATTGGATTAAACTATTGTATTTCTTTCAAACGCTCGTATTTTTCATTAACTTCATAAATTTGAAATAATAATACCACAAAAGAACCCGGGACGTGTGTAAATTAACTAAATAAAAGAAGGTGTGCATTCATGCATACATAAATTAGTACAATTTTAACTTAAAATCCACGATGAGACCACGACTCAGAAATACGAAAGGCAAAAACGCACGCTCTCTTATACTGATCTTCTAAGGTAAGATCCAAATTTTCCCTCAAACAAAAGGGATTTTCACTTAAATAGTTTGTTGTGTAGACCATTTCTGGATTACATGCTCACCCATCTGATCACGTATTTATCCGTGACTCGTCGATAAATTTTATTTTTGCATGATTCGTTCGCCCACCAAAGACAGTCACTTTTTTCTGCCTGCTCAAGTCAAAAATCTTAAGGGATTGCATTCAAAAGACAGTCTGAAATCTGAAAGGCCGCGAACATTATAACGATCGATATTATTTACATTTCCCGAGATTTACACCACCGCGTCAATGTTTTTTTTCCCGAGGTGTTAACAAAGCAATAAGTCACTGAGTTTTACAAATGTTTGCGATTAAAATGAACTCTGATCGCAAATGAAAGAAAGTAGCTAAACGTCAAACTGATTTGTGAAAGGTAGCTGAAGTTTTTTCTGTCTTTGACACAATTCTGACGACTTCGCTTTGAACGTCAAACTAATTAGTGAAATGTAACTGACGTTTTTCCTGTCTTTAACACAATTCAGACGACTTCGCTTTGAATACTTAATACTTAAACAAGCTGGAGTGTTAAACATAAATCATATCGTTCGACATCGGACAACCTAGTGCGTATTTATGTGAGTGACTTCTAGACTGCATAGGAATTTGGAATGCCTTAACAGCGGAGTGTCAAACTGCGTAAGTACAAAAAAAAAAAAAAAAAAAAATATAATTATCATGATTATCATCAAACACGCCAAATCGAACAGAATTACAGCCCCTTGGAAATTAAGCAGTAAATTTCAATAGTCAATGAGATTGAAAGTACTAGGCCATGCTGTCCAATCAAAACCGAAGAAAAATATTGAGTGAATATAGGCTATGTCATCTCAAAACTAAAACCAATTATCTAACAAGGTCCAACGTCAACGTTTCTTTAGCTTTTTAACGAGCTGTTTGACACAATTGATTGAAAAAGTAAAGATAACAATACAATTATCATATTTCACAATGCTACAATTCAAGACGGTAAAAGGCTTTTTTATTCTTACAAGGACCGTAAGTATTCCATTAAAGAGTTTCTTGCATTTCGCCGTCGGCACAAGTAGTTGACAATGGGCCTTTGAGTCGTCCAATTTAAGGATAAATCGCGATCGTAATTCCTTTTTAGTCCTAGCGATATATATTCGGCTAATTTGGAAAAACAACGCCAGTATTCAAGAGTGATGTATACTTAGTGGTAGGGGATATTTGTGGCTGACATACATATAAATAGAGAAAATGCAAATATAAACATAGAGTACACGATTATAAATTGTGTCACTTGTGTCACAGACAATGTTGATGAAATTGATTCTATCATATCACCACAGCGAAGATCTAAAGAAGGCTACAAGAGGTTTCACTGATTCTCGCTAATTTGGACCTTGGCAATTCTGTGAGTACCTTGAATCGCTTTGTAAATACCTTAATTTTTTTTATTTTCGAGTGCGAACACTGCTTAGCAAAATGCTTAACAACAGCAAGCTGAACCGGCTGAAAGCAAATTCAATCAGTTAGGAAGTGAATGAACAAAGTGGTTCGCTTTTGAGCTCATTTGCTCGTAACAAACTATGCAATTATTTACAGATCAATCAACTCAAACAAGGTAGCTTACTGCAGCAAATTACTCATTTTCAGTATCTAAAACAATTCACCTTTCCCTCGCTATTTGATCGAGCGTGCCTGCGTTGTTGACTCCAAGATGTCTAAGGTTGGAATCGATTCTTGCAAACCAAAGGTACCACCGCTTTGAAATCGACACGCTCATTTAAATTTCTTTGGGGATTGAAAGATCGCAGGCAGTTTTACTTTGTCTTATTTTAATAGAGACCGAATTTTTTAAACGCGCGGAATTCATCACTCAATTACACCCTTACTGATGTATATGCCACAAGACCAATGTTGTCATTAGATGAGGGCACAGAGAGCACAGAAAGTTAAAATTGACTTATTCTATAGTAAAAAAAAAACAAACATATAAACAAAACAATTAAGGTAAATAAATGATAAAACATGTGTGGAAATATCTATCTTTAGAACTCTGAGAAATTCTGAAAAGGTGAATTTAGCAGTTAGTTATCTGATTCAGATAACTACCTGCTCGAGGGTTTGAAATACCTCTTAGTTGAAAATTATAACCTGGTTCGTTAATTATGA